GGGGGGGCTGGGGCTTTTGCAGCAGCTTCTTCCGATACCCGGGTCTATCGAAGGCAGGGGCGAGGTCTGCTTTGGGCCACTTTTTCTCCTTCGCCCTGGCCAGCCTGCAAAATACCGGGTGGGAAGGGGATTTGTTCCTCCCACAGCGGCACGGGTTATCGTTTTCGTGCTGGAATTTTCGGTGGTACCAGTCGAAGCCCCTGTGGCCAGTGCGTGCGGCTATCAGCCGCTGCAGTACCCTCCGGTGTAGTTGCAGGGCGTCGGGTAGGCGCTGTGATATTAGCGAGAGGCCTATAGTTTTGTATCGGTCCGGTATGTTCTTTTCGAACCAAGCGTTCCGGGTGTCCCGGGCTATCTTTTTGGCTAAGGCTTTAACACCAGCTACCGTCGGTTTGGTGTGCTGGGGTATCGGGAGGGCCGTGCCTAGCTTCGCTTCGGCGTCGGCCTCCTCGTTTCCGGGGATTCCCGTGTGGCCTGGGGATTAACGGACGTGTATTTGGTGCTTATCCATAAAGCAATAACCCTTTTTAAAGGCCCCTTGCGAGCTATCAAGGGCCGTGCTTAAAAAGCCGTTGGCCGCCGAGGTGATGTCGAGGCATAGATAGTATGTACAGTTGGGGAAGTTCCAGATGGCTTTGCGAAGGCCCATTCGGGCCCCTTCCGCTTCACCATTAAAAACTTCGGCGGGGTGCGCCAGTCTGCCGTGCCCGGACAGTTTGCGTTGGCCGGCTTGGTGTATTACCCAGCCGTAGCCAACTGCTCCGTCTTCCGCTTTGGATCCGTCGCTGTAGATTATAACGTCCATAGGGGAGAGGGTGTTAAGCCACGTTATAAATGCTTTGGCGGCTGCTTGCTTTTCTTGTGTGGCCACCGTAAGCCCCGTATATTTATAGGGGAGGTAGGCCGGGCGTGTGCAGGCCGGGACAAGCTTGGCTGTTCTTTGCAGGCAGGTCGTTTGTCTGCTAGGCAGGCCCGCCCTAGGCCCCCGGGCTTTCAGCGTCGGCTTGGCTGCTGCGGTTAGGGGGTGGACTTTTGGGACCGTGTTAATGCGAGCTGCAAAACGGAGGCGGACTTGTCCCAGAAGCGCCTCGGCGCCTGGGATGCCGGACTCATAGTGCAAGGCTTTTATCGGTATGGTTTTCCATGCTGGTAGCACTGCTCGAAGGGCCGCAACTAAGGCTTTGTTGACCCGCTCGATTAGGTGGCCTTGGCGGGTATATTGTTGTTGTGCAGGCTTATATGGGTGTGGCTTGGTTTTGCCCTTGTACCACACCTCGGCCCCGTACAGCGCTGTTGGGATAATTACCGTCGTGACGGCTTTATGTACCGAGTGCGTTGGTATCCCTCCCACCGAGTGGGTAAGCCTCCGAAGGTGGTTGGCAACGCTGAGGGCTTTGGCGACCCTGTTGTTGACATGTGGCCCAAAGTTAAGCCTTTGGTCGAAAAAGACGCCCAGCCACCGTAAAGTTGCAGGGTTTCCAGGGCTTCCCTTAGCTTGTTGTATGGTGAGGCCCTCCGCTGTAACCGGCGGGGTTGTGGGATTTCTTTGCCTAGAAAAGTGCATGAACTCGCATTTTCCCGGGTCGAAAGCGACCTTGTTGGCCCTGCCCCAACGGAGGGTTTCCGTTACCGTTGCTCCTGCTTTGCGGGCGCATTTTTTTTTGGAGAGTTGCCCGTTACGCATATGCCTATATCGTCCGCGTATCCATACCTAACCCCTTTGGTTTTGGGTAGGATTTCGGCCATATATAGCATGAATAGGACCGGTGAGGCCGGTGACCCTTGGGGTAGCCCGCAATCCGGGGGAAAAGGGGTTGCTATGGCGTCCTCCAGTCGCACTTGAACTAGCCTGTCCCCTGCGAAGAAGGATACCCACCGTACCAACGTTGGATTCCATCCCTGGTTTAGCAGCCTCCGAAGAAGTCTCCGGCGGAGAACGGCGTCGAAAGCCCCTTGAACATCCATGGTGATAAGGGCGGCCGCCTTGTGATTTTGGAGGGCTCGCTCCACCTTGTGGGCCACGCACGCCGTTAAATCGGTGGCGGCCTTTTTAAGTGTCGCCCCGGCATGTTGCGGGGCTATCAGCCCGTGCCGTAGGGCGAGAGACGCCATCCGCGATGCCACTAAGCGTTCTAGCCCTTTTCCCAAGCACGAAAGCAGTGCTATCGGGCGGTATGACTTTGGGTCGGTCATATCTGACTTGTTTGGCTTTTTGAGCATAACCACCTCTGCTGTACGGAAAGGACTTGGGTGGTGCCCAACCTTAAGGCATGCTTCGAACAGGGCCCTGATGTATTCCCCTATTGCCGGCCAGGCCGCTGTAAGCAGCCTGACTGATAGGGAGTCGATGCCCGGGGCCGTGTTTGCTATGCCAATGGCGCATTTCCGGCACTCTTCCAAAGGGACGTGGAGGTCCACGGGAGTTGTGTGATCCCCTAAGGGGCCCCCTGGTGTAACGGGTCCTCCTGTAAGTCGTCTTCCGCTGTGAACCTGCGGAGGATTTTCCGGCCCAGTGCTTCCGCTTTGTCTTTTGGCGCTACAATAACCTTTCCGTCGATATTTAGCGGGGGAAGTCGTATAGCGGGTGTAAGTTTATGCTACTTCACCGCGCGGTATAGCGCTTCCGGGGAATCAGCTTCCTCCAACACTTTGGCCCAATGCTGTCTTTTGGCTGCCTGAACCGCTGCTTCCAAAGCATGGGCTTCGGTTGTAAAAGGGCCCTCGCCCGCTATGGCTTGGGCTAGGTCCCGCTGTGCGGCAGCGCATTTGTCGTTCCACCACGGTTAGCCTGTACTTTTAGCTTTAGGCTTTTTGCCGATAGTGTCCAGCGCGCTTTTTAGCAGGTTTATTAATGCCTTAGCTGCTATGTCCAGGTAGTTTGTAGTTTGCGGGTTTGTAGGCGTGTTACGGCAGTTAGACAAAGAGAGACCCCTCCCACCTCTGCTAAAAAGCCAGAACAATCAGAACCGCTGTTCTGATTGCGATAGGGGTCTCATACACCCAACGCACACGAGAGGCAAGCTGCAAGTGCACGGAGGGCACGCCGCGCCGTAACAAGGCGGCGGTAGGCTGCCGGCTCCATAGCCCGCAAGTGGCGGCAGGCTGCTGGCCCCGGTTGCTACCACGTTGGCAAACATTGGAAGTTTGTCGTCGGGGAGCGTAATGCGCCTGCAATCCGGAATGGCGTCATTGGGATAGGGAACCTCAATCCGTATTGTGCGGTGGTCTGAGTTTGTTGCTAGCATGGGGTCGATTTCCGCTGTTGCTAACGAGGCGTTGGTAAAGGTAAGGTCCAGCACACTCCCTTGATCGTGCGTGGGCCTACCTGGGTACGTGAGTAGAAAAAGGTTGCAAGTGTCAGCCCATTGGGCTAGAGTTCCTTGCATCAGTTCGATCCTCAAATTGTATTTTTTGTACCTCCTGAGCTTCGCGTTACCGCCACCATGTTTTGCACTCCACGCGCAATGTCCAAAGATCCATACGTCCATTTGCCCTCCGCCAGCCGCGTCGGCCAAATAGTAGCTCAATTGATACGCCGTCATCTGTCCCGGACTCCCCTCATCGAAACGATCCTCGCCGTTTTACAGCGTCCCCTGGCGACACCTGTAGGCTGGTAATCGTCCCCCAAGGTGTTGGCGATTTCGTCCCTATATGCATCCCACGACTCCTTTCCCGTCTCGACTCTCCCCGCGAGCGCCTCCCTTCTTTCCGTAATATCTCGCCTTGCAACCACCTGCTCGTCACCAAAGTTGGGTGCTGAAAATGCCCTTGAATCGCTTTCTTCGATAAAGTTGTGCAGGCCTGCCATGACCAGCACGAGCTTAACTTGTTGGTTGTAATGGTACTTCGGCGGAGAGTCCCGGATTATTTTCCAGCGTCCTTTGAGGACCCCGAAGGTATCTTCAGCTATCGCACGCATTTTTGCGTGGTACAGGTTGAAGACCTCTTCCCGGGGCTCCGGCCTGCGCGTGCCTTGCTCTTGTAAGTGGTATCTTGTCCCTGGATAGGGCAACACAAGCCCGTCGCCTTGGTAATAGCCTTGATCTCAGAGGTAAAAGTAGTTTAGAGTAGTGCATCGATCCCTCGGCCCCTGCCATGACGAAAACGAACCGCCCGCGGTGATCAACGGCCGAGAAAACGTTCTGGCAGATATCTCCTTTCCTACTCCGATACACGGCCGCCTCACTCTTGGGGACCCGTGCCTTGACCAAGGTGCCGTCAACAGCTCCCAGGCAGTTTTGGAAGGCCCGGCGCACGCCCAGCCGCATCCGCTCGGGCTCAGGGATGTCTGCAAGGCTCTGGGGCTTCACAAACGCGTCGGTGAGGTGGAGGAGGGCCGACAACACGCGGAATCCCCGGTGCACTGTCTCCGTGCTGTGCCCAAATAAGTGGCCGGTTATCCGGATTAAGCACCCCTGCCCGCAGATGTATAGGAACCAGGCTACTTTCTCGGCCAGGGAGACGTTGCGGGTGCCTCTGACGAGGCCACGGTTGTCGAGCCATGCGCAGAGCTCCAGAAAGGTCCTCTGGGTAATGCGGAAGAGGTCTTTGAACGCTGGGGCGGCCTGGATACGCATCCAGTAGCTGAGGAGGATCTCTCCCGAAAAGAACGTACTGTGAATAGAGTAATGCACGGCGTCCCAGGAGCCTCGCAGGCGGCCGCTAATAATCACGGCGGCAACCGCGTGTAGGCATGCTAACAGAACGAGACGGTGTTGGCGTACCGTCAACGGTGGCCGGCGTTGAGAGACGATAGTAGCTGATGGCATTGCTTTTCTATAGAGTAGGGGCAGTAAGCTGAAGGCAGTGATTAGCCCTGTGGTGAATTGCACGTAATAAACCCAAAAATGTAGTCGAAAGCATCCAGATCCCGTTTATATTGATCAAACTCCGGATCGAACTAGGAGCTTGGTGGCCGAGCCCGAGGCTGACAGGCCCCTGCTCGTTTGATACATCTACCGAGCGCCCAGCTACGTTTGATACGCGATCCACCAGGGCTGGGGGGAACTCCTGGCCCGTGCATCCAACAGGTTCAACAGCTTTGGTGGGTCAACAGATCAACAGTTGCGTTTACAAACAGGGCATTATACCGGACAGCACTTTGGAAACCACGCGCCATTTGGAGTAGCAGTAGTAGTAGTGTCTATTAACGCCGGGCAGAAAGCTGCAGCGCGCCATTTGGAACTACCTGTCTCAGCCTTGCGCTTCGACCAGCCCCGACGTCATCGTCGTGTCAACGTTTTCGCTCGTGTTTGAACACTCGTCCTGCTCGAGCCCCTCCCGGACGACCCCGCTCTCTGCCAGGTCATTACCAGGGCCCTTAGGCAAGGTCAGACCGCCGAAATCGTCGACGGCCTCCACCTTCGTCACGCCCAGGCCCCCATCGAGATTGCCTTTGCTAACGCCACAGCTATGACCCTGCCCCTGCTGGATTCCGCAATTGTTGGTCTCGGAATCTAAAGCAAACAATGGGTATAAGTAGATATCCGGGGACGGGAAGAGAGGGCAATCTAAGCTTAGCTTACCCCTGTGCCTGTGATTGGACATTATGGAAAAGGGCGTTATGCAGTTTTCCGCGTCGGTGGCGTCAATGCCTTCAAGCCAATTCAGAACACGACTGAATAGCTCCTCCTTCCCCTCTACCGTGATATCCACGTCGACATCTTCAAATATGGTGATATCACTGAGTGTTGGGGCCCCGGAAACGATGCTTTTCTTGCCGGTAATTTCCAATACGGTGGCGCCATGCGTTGGGGTCACCCAGAACCCAGAAAGACCGATGTCTTTGGAAGTCATAATAAGGCGACGGATGTTAAAGGACGACAGGCGGGTTCGGCGAAGGGCAATAAAGTCAGAGCCTGCTTAGGGCT